ATTTATTTATTTATTTATTTATTTAATATACGTGGTTGTTCCAGGTATTAAGAAGTTTTAAAGGAAAAGAAGTCGCTTTTGTTAGCGAATGGATGACAAGCCGAGGGCTGCAAAAGCTTTGCAACATTTTTGAAGGTATGTTTAAAATCTAGAGTGTAACTGAGTTGTGTGATTTTCAGGTTTTAAAGCTTGAATAATCAAATCAATTGCTGGTCAATGTGCAGATAGTCACGTTCACTGATATTGCCTTTTTCATAAAATAGTTGCTGTCTGCAGAGCACAAACTGCTATTGAATAGTGAATGAACAAACGCTCTGAAATGTACAACAACCTCTCTCAAACAAAATTAAATACAATGCAGTCGAAGGTATTGCATTCAGTTCCTGAACACATTTAGTATCATAAATTTTTCACACCGTGCAATGACGCTTGCAAGTGAAAAACCCAACAGCGGCGTGACTTTGCTAAATTTTACCAATATTCGTTGATCACACAAGAAATTCTTCAATTCAAATGCCCTGCCCGGGGGGAGATGTTGAAGCTTCGAATTGATCGGCGCATAATATCCACTTCTGTTTAATACATGTATCATTCAAGAGTCTATTTTTACCTAAGTCATGTAACAAGCCGAGAAATGCAATGAACTAAATAAGGCTGATTCACCTGTATAACGTTCTTTGTGAGACACCTGACCTACAAAAAGCAAAACATGCACATTTTTCCGGCAGGAGTATTTTGAAGAACGTCGAACGCCGAATGCAGAACGCCAAATGCACCGTCTGCTTGTGGTTAGTTACACTCATGTTTCCTTGAGGTTAACTTTTATTTCTGGGAAAGGGACAAATACAATATAATGCTGTCCTTTCCAAGTAAACAGAAGCTAACCGGAAGCTACCCTTGTCTCAGAGGTTTTTCTTGATTTTTCTCCGCATGAGAGAGCTGCGAGAGAGCCGCGAAGCGGTGAAAACACGGTCGCGACTTGTGTTCGCCGCTTCGCGAAAAGAAGAAAAATCAAGAAAAACCTCTGGGACCAGGGTAACCGGAAGTAAACATAAGTCAAACGAACCTCAAGCAAACAGTACATTTGGCGTTCGGTGTTCTGCATTCCGCGTTCTGTTAAATACCCCTTTCGACATTTTCCCTATAAATTCCGACTTTTAATCGAATGTGTTCCAACTCTGTCCAACTTCAATGTTCCTATTGTTGTCTCAGAGTTTGATCATGGTCGATTACGGAACTCCAACGAACCCAATCACTAAACTTACTTCGATAGCATAATCAAAAGTCCAACAAGGCTGAACTAAATTGAGTTTGAAACGAATAGAGCGCGATATTTGATTAAGTGTCGACCTATCCTGGATACGATCGCGCTAAAGCTGACTAATTAATTGAGTTGGAATCGACGACTGTCGAGCTGCATTCGTCACATGATTTGTACAAGTATGAACTGCAGTGGTAAAACCAACGTTCTACAAAATAACACATTTATACAGTAGTATACCTTTTCTTAAAGGGGCAGGAAGATCCCTCCTTCGTGGTGCCTGTGCAGCCATCATTTGAGTGAAAATCAGAAAATGACAACAAATTTCGAAAAGGACGCGCTCCTTCACAATAGGTCCAGGGTGGCCAATTGTCGGTCAGGTTTTGATCACGTGACAGAAGTTGGTCGCGCATCCCTGAGTCTCGAAATAGGGCAGCCTCGTTCACACGCGGAGATCTGTCTCACACCATAAGGAGCTTGAAAAGGCAATTCTTCGACAGCCGACGGAACTCTTCAAAATGCTTGAGAAACTGAAAACTTCATATTGTTAGATAGAGGAAAGGTAAAGCTCTTATGCTAAGTTTATCCCGTGGCCTAGTATTGTTAATTATGTCCATGCGAATACCGAGAACTTTATCAATTTTCCCGATATTTTTTGCGTTGTTAATGATGCATTAAGGTGGCTCAAAACAGTTTCCAGCACTTAACAGTGGCGGATCCAGACCTTGAGCTAAGCGGCGGGTGGGGAAGGGGCGGTTTTGTTTTGTTTGCCCTGCTGGCTTTTCTTCCTTCTGTGTTTTTTTTTCTTTTTTTTTTTATTCAAAATAAGGGTGGCGGAGGAGGCGGGGGCCCTGGGACCCTCCTATGCCCTAGATCCGCCACGGCTTAGATTTCGATGGGTCGTTATAACATCTCTTTATCTCTCTATCTATGGTAACCTATAAGATAGTCTTTGTTTACAATATTTGCCTCATTACCATAAGCGACACAGTTTCTGATGGAGCTACAAAGAGATTAATACTGAGTATTGAAAGGGCACAGCACGATTAACTGTCCCAAGGAATCTGAGCGCGATGTATTGAAAACTTTCTGTGCGACGAGGGTTTAAAAGCTCAAAATTTTACAAAGAATGTATGAGCTCATTAGCGCTTTCGCCGCCCAGAAATTTTGATGTTTTTGAAAGCCAATTTCTCCTCGAATATTACACCCAAAGAGCCAAAAATTTCACCATTTACTAAGTTTCACAAGCTCTTTAAGTTTTTCTAGTAAAATCGTGTCTAGCATGATGCCGTCTATGCGCAAAGTCGTATGTTAATGAGGAAAAATGTAAACAATGACGTCAGCAAAGATTCATCTATTGTGTCACGAATCGCGAAAATGATAGCAACGAGTTCACCATTGATTGGGCAGTTTTTTGATACCATGATTGTAGCATCAAGTGATAGAAAGTGGTTATAACGACCCATCAAAATCTTACTACTGGAGACTGTTTTGAGCCACCCTAAATTGGCTTTGCTTCCATATTTCACAGTGCTTTAGTAGACAATTTATTAATTTCCTGTGAAAAAGAAGCCAGATCGCCCCACCCCGCTGGGCTGCTAGGTCAGCGGTATTTTAAAGAAACTTCAAAATGGCGGACGAAGATTGACACTCGACTGACTTGAGTGTCTCTGGTGAGGAATTTTTGACAAGATTAATATTAATATTGATGCATAGTCTCAACTCACACGTTTGGATTTTGATTGGGATCAAAGGTATTTAGCAACGCTGGTTACGCCGCAAAATTACACAAAAATGCTTGGAAATCTGACTTTTGTTGTACATTTTTTGCATATTTTGTATCAGGCCAAATTAAGGAAGAGAGCAACAAAAAATGTTTTTTTGAGCAAATTTGAGCAACTTTCGTTACAAAACGCAACTTTTGAACAACTTTATGGGAAATTGCGGGCAACGTTTTGGGAAATCTCCAGCAACTTGTGGAAAGCCCTATTCATAGATGAAAACTCCTATGGATTGTTCACTCACAAGGCAGAGTTTTGACTTTTTATTACAGGGTTTTTATGCTTCTAATCTTTCAATCGATTATTTTGTCGAAGACAAAAAATTATTCAATTGAATGGATATAAGTGTCCGTTCGTGTCAGGTTCTTTGAAAAAATTTGAACAACAACAAAAAGTATCAATACTTCCATTAAAGTTACAATAGCGGAAAAACATCTTTAGCAACAGTTCCTCGGAAGCTATATTTACATACAAAGAAATGGCTAATGCTTAAACTTTTTTTGATCAAGGGTTAACACGAAGGCGTTTTGACAACTTCTTCCTAAACGCTGGTCATTTTCATGGGGTCGTCCTCTTCGTCTTCTTCTTCTTCAAGTGCGCCGCCGTTATGCTTCAGCGGTGTGTCCTCGTTCGTGTCCAGCTGATCCGCGAATTTGATGTCGTGACGTGACAGGTGGTCCACGATTCCAGCGCCTAGGGCGTCACCCATGACATTGACGCAAGTGCGGAAACGGTCCCTAAGAACACAAAATTGACATGTTTGACCATTCTTATTCAAATAGCCGCTAATTTCTTTCTATTGCTTCGAATCGCTCTCTGCTGTCAACTCTTTGTGTTCATCAGATCAAACTGCAGAAGACTACTTCTTAACCACAAAAGTTTAATGTTGGACCAACTATATTCCCAGGCAACCTCGTTCCCAGGGCTTTTTCTTCCCAATCCCTAAGGGAAAGCCCAGGGAATGAGGTTGGTTCCCAGGTCCTTCGCTGCAACAACTCAGGGTTGAATTATCTTGTACCCTCTTTTCTATTTAAGAACTTTTCAGTTAGAAAATAAATTAAAGGTTTTCATTTTAAGTCATTTCGTGTTTAGAGCCTTTAGATGAATTTAAATATACTGGCGATCGATCACGTCACTAGCATTTTTGAACTCATTTCTTTCGTGCAACGTATTTAAACTATGTTGTCTTCGGGACAAATCCGATTCAAAACATAAAAAGAACAATGTTATTAAACAACCGTTGCCAAGTTTTTCACAAAATCTAAATTTTTTACCAAACTGTAAAGAGAATTGAATTCTGCGTTATTTTCGATTACAGTGACAACTCTGAGCCTGTTATTACCTCCTTTTAAGTTATGAGCGGTTAAAAACTGGTATGAAAAGCCCCAATAATGAAATAAAAACTTACAGGAACCAATCAATAGCTAGAATAAGACCAATGTCTTCGGTAGGAAGATTCACAGCTTGAAGAACAATAATCATGGTAACCAGGCCTGCTGATGGAATGCCGGCGGCGCCGATAGCTGCTGCGGTTGCCGTCAGACTGGCGGAAAAATTATTGAGGAGAACAGTTGATATACGTCCAGTGACTTAGATATAGATAACGAGCAGATCTGCGTAAGTCAATATTTCGTTGAATCTATCAGCCACGTTCCCGTTGAGAAGGGAGCACGGGGTAGGGGAGGGAGGGAAGTGCAATGTATGATCACTTAATTTAAACCTAGAGAACCCCTAGAGTAAAATCACGTCCCTTTTTTTCAACAGCATTGTTCGTTAGCTAAACTATCGTGACCTAGAGTAGCGTGACATATCCTAGCGTGAGCCAGCCAATCTTGAACAACGTGACATAGACTCTGATAACGTTATTTATTTTTCTTACACAGTTGTGACAATCTGTCCCGGTGCCAGTGGAATGCGATTCAGCTGCGCAATCCAAATGGCACTGACTCCTTCATATAACGCTGTTCCGTCCATGTTGACAGTAGCACCCAGAGGTAAAACAAAGCGGCTGATGCGGCGGTCAATGCCGTTCTTTTCTTCAAGGCAGCGCATAGTGGTCGGTAAGGTAGCAGAGCTGCAAGGTACGATATGAACACCAGGTCAAACAGTCTGAATGACAACCAATCAGTTAGACATTCAGTGAGTCCTTTAGCCTGCCTATCTTGTCCATGCACTAGGAAGTCAGTCACTTTGTCAGTCAGTGAGTCAGTAAGTCAGTCAGCCGTCAGTCACTTGATTTGGACAATCAATCAGTTAGTCCCTCCGTTAGTTCCTCTGTCAGTACGTTAGTCAGCCATTGACTGACCCGATTTGGGCAATCAGGCAAACAGTCAGTCGGTCGGTCGGTGAGTATGTCAGTCAGTCAGTTAGTCAGTTCTTCATCCATCAGCCCATCGTCCGGTAAGCCAGTCACTATATCGTCAAGCTACTGGATCTTCAATCTCTACAAGTCAAATAATTATCAGTCTAAGTGAGATCACCCACTCTCTTGTGTATTGACCACATGATGTAGAGAGCCCAAGATCTTTTCTCTTACCTCGAGTCTGTACCGAAAGCGGTCACCATTGCTTCGCGCAGGCCCTGCATGAACTTGTATGGGTTTTTTCGAGTAATCGCGAAGAAAATAATTGGAAGCACAACAAGGGCGTGAATCAACAAACCCACAATGACTGTCACCATAAACATTCCCAGCAGCCTCAGCGCGTCCAGTATGTCAGCCATGGCAGCCAACTTGGCAGCGATCATGCTACAGATTCCTATGGGGGAGTACCTGGGGAAAAGTTGCTTGGACTCAATACAGTACGAAATGGTATGTAACGGTGCACAGGGTGTGAAATTGATGGTCTATTCTGTTATGACTCAAAATAACTTGCCATCAATGAGTTTTAAATGTAAAAAGCACAAATCGCAACGACAATGGGCGACAAAAGCTATTTTATTTGCATCTAGCGTCAATCCTCTGATACCCCCGGCCCCCAATTCAATGTTGTGTAGGCGCTGTGGTCTGGGCAGTCTAAGAGGTAGAAAAATCAACATTGTTTGCGGGGGAGGGGACAAATGTTTCCAAGACGCTCGAAAATCGAATTTTACCGCCAAGTGTCTCAGCACTTTTGTCTCCCATTGTAGCTATGAGCTCGTCACAAAAATTCCTGCGCCGTCTACGAATACAAAATTAATACTTTGTATCT